CGTATAGACACTTTACCACTGAACTTTTTTTTTTTTTTAAAAGAGAGAGTGAGAGAGAGAGAATTTTAAAATATTTATGTTTTAGTTTTCGGCGGACACAACATCTTTGTTTGTTTGTGGTGCTGAGGATCGAACCCGGGCTGCACGCATGCCAGGCGAGCGCTCTACCGCTTGAGCCACATCCCCAGCCCTGAACTTTTTTTTTTAACACACAAAACAGTTTGTCAGAGTTGACAAATAAAGGCCATCTCTCCATAGTGGAGATAGGCTGAACTTCTTATTTTTTATTTTCATTTATTTATTTATTTTTGATACCAGGGATTTAACTCAGGGGGCACTCAACCACTGAGCCACATCCCCAGCCCTATTTTGTATTTTCTTTATAGAGACAGGGTCTCACTGAGTTGCTTAGCACCTTGCTTTTGCTGAGGCTGGCTTGGAACTCGCGATCCTTCTGCCTCAGCCTCCTGAACCACTGGGATTATAGGCATGTGCCACCACGCCCAGCCTTTTTTTTTTTTTTTTTTTGAGACAGGATTTGGCGAAGTTGCTGAGATATTGCTAAATTGCTGAGGCTGGCCTTGAACTTGCAATTCTCCAGCCCATCCTCTTGAGTCACTGGGATTATAGGTGAGCAACACAACTGACACAAGACTTACTTTTGACCTGAAGATTCCACTACTCCTCAGAAAAAAATATTGTCTTTTGGATTCTTCAGGACTGGGCTCCTTCTATCTTCAAGAGAAATATAATGCACTCAGTGAATTTGATATAATGCAAGAGAGTCAAAGAGCATCCTGCCCCACCTGCTCCATCAAGTGTGTGTCTTATAGAAATGTTTTCATCAGTTTGTTCATTCATCTATACATTCACTAGGTAGTTCTTATTGCACTAAACACAATACTACATGCCAGGCAGGAGATATATAATAGGTGGTAAATAAATAAGTCCAGAAATAAATGAAAATAATATGAAGTACAATGATAAATCTTATTTTTAAATTTTTTCTTTGTTCTTTTTAAATAAACATGACTGTTGAGTGTATGTGGACATATTATACATACATGACATATGACTTATTCTGATTAGGATCCCATTCTTCTGGTACAATGATAAATCTTATGAAAGAAAAAAAAAAGGACGATGATCTAAGGGGTAAATGGGATAGGGGTTCCTGTTTTGGTCTTTATGAAAGGAAACACTGTAAAAGTGGTCCTCTGTGAAAAAGAGGACCTCTCATTACCTGACTGTGCTCTGTCTATTCAGCGCCCCGCACTGCCTCAAATGCACTCTTTTAATCAGATTTGTCTCATTTTCTAAAACACAGTCCCCCTTAACCTGTGTCCTTGTGCTGCTGTGCCTTTTGATCTCTCTTTCTCTCTTCTAATCCTTGCTATCGTTGAAGATATTGCTTCTCTGTGCACTCATTCATTGACAAAATCTTCCGGATGGCTCTTATTTCTCCTTCCTTCTCTCAATTCTGTAACATACAGTAGTTTATCACACAGATTTAAAGCATATATTATCTTCACTTATTACCTTATCTATTTTGTTTTTGCCTTCAAGACTTGCTTTTGAAGGCAGGGACATTATCATATTTGCTTTGGGGTGCAGTCACCGTTGGACATGGAGTAAGTGTTCAGTTAACACACTGGCTGAGAACACTGGGCAGCCTGTAGGTTCATAGAAGAGCTATCTCATGGCCAGCAGGGCCTTGTTGTACACTTCACATTATGGCACGTAGGTGGCTGCCTGTCTTCCTACACATAAGTCTGGCATTGTGTTGATTTACTCAGCCTGCAAAAAGCTTCATCCAAAATGCAGCACCTGCCAATGATTTCTTCTTCACTCACTCTCTGGCTGGTCATAGACCAAAACCCCAAAACCACAGTGTGTTTTATTGCATTATATCACTAGTCTGTACTGTTGCTTCTTTCCTCCTTTGGTCCCTCCATTACAGATAACCCAGATCTCTGCTGCATAATTGGCATACGTAAAAAATGCAGCTATTCCTCTCTGGGAAGTTGGAGAGAAAAAGAGAAGGTTGTTTATTATTTTGCTTTACTGCAACAAGCAATAACATTAGCTAAAGTAGAAGTCTGCCTTGGCATATCTGAGTTTTTCCAATAGATCATAACATTTGGGTAATATAGATATCATTGACTGATGCAGACATCAACTATTTGACATATAATATTGCAAGACAATATTTGGTAGTATTTGGCATGCGTTGGTGAACTACTTATCAAATCTGGGCACATTTTTTACTCAGTAGAAGTATTATTTGCATTATATTTTAAAAATAAATCAGAAAGCAATATCTATTTGGAAATTGTATTGTAACTGCTTTTCTTTATTGTTCACTCATTCACTGACAAAGCCTTTCATAATTGCTCCGATTCCTTCTTTCTTCCCTAATTCTATAACACTTGAAAGTTTATCACACACTTTTTTTTTCCTTGTGGTACTTGGAATTGAACCCAAGGGTGCTGTACCTCTGAACTACATTTCTAGCCCTTTTTATTTTTTGTTTTGAGACAGGGACTCGCGAAGTTGCTGAGACTGGTCTCAAACTTACCATCCTCCTGCCTTAGCCTCCTGAGTACCTGGGATTATGGGCATGTGCCAATGTGCCTGGCTATGCTCCAGCTTTAACTATATATTGTCTTGTTTTGTTTGATATACATCATATGAGGTTTGATATTCATTGTCTTCATTTATTTGATATTGCCTCACACAATCTATTAACTTGTAGGACTTTATATAGCTTCATATTTTCTTCAAATGAATATACCTTAGGTCTGTATTAGATAGTAATGCAAAGTTTAGGGGAATGTTATGTCCTACTCAAGTGAGATTTTGCTCAATTAGGTTTTTCTTATAGTAAATATTTAGTCACTGTACTTTGATCCAGTAGTTGCTGTTAGACTATTGACTTTTTATTTCATATTGCAGAAAACAAAATATAGCAGGGGTGATTAAATACCAGGGGTTAAGATGGGAAAGTCACAGTTTTTCTGTTGTTATTATTAAAAAACATTCTAAAATCGTGCCTGATATGTGTATTAAGAAGCTGGTTTGTTTCTTTCTTAAGAAGGCTGGGATATGCATGGATCCAGCCCTGGAAGGGGCTCCCGCAGTACCAGCCTTTCCAGCATGGAATTTGTGAGTGGGTGGGAAATGCTTAATTGCTATTTACCTGCCGAACACAGCCTTTGACACACATGATGAGCCAGCGTCATTTGACTGTCACCTCCTTAGGAGGCAGGATTCTTCAGCCCACACTCTGCTCAGCGTTGACTTCTTCTCTGTGCATGCTTTGTATCTGCATTTTTTGCCCAGACTGTGCATTTTGAGGGAAGCACCAATCCAAGACAGGCTCCTCAGTTTTGTCATTGTAGAGAGACCCACAGAGCCTCCCACACAGTGATGTCCTCAAAGGCAGTCAAGGATGCTGATTCCTTTGAAGAAGCATTTTTGAAACAAAAGGGATTCCCCCATGTGCTGGTGTGCCCGGCGATTCTTTCTTTCCCACCACTTCATATAGAACTTGCAGACAGATGTCCGTTTGTACTACTCAGGTGATATATTGCCAAATAAATAAGTGAAAAAAATTTTGGCTCTGGTTTCAACTCATTTCAAAGTTCAGGTTGCAGAGATGCAATTGATGATTTATATAAATAGACAAGAAGTGCTTTAGAAATAAAATAGACCCACACTTAATATATTTGGCTATTTCATGGATAATTATTATTAGTTCATTCAGACATACCATAAGTCAAAGTCTGTTCTCTGAAACATAATCATAGAACTGCATACACAGTCAGAGCAGAAAATAGGCCAGGTGCCTGCTATACACACACTGTAGCAATCAGCAGATCTATAGTTCTGTGGAATGGTACCGCTGTTTTCTCCCAATTAAGAATGGATAGCAGGAGCTCCGGTTGTGGCTCAGTGGTGGAGCCCTTGCCTAGCACGCTCGGGGCCCTGGTTCGATTCTCAGCACCACATAAAAATATATAAGTAAAATAAAGATATTGTGTCCAACTACAACTAAAAAATAACTTAAAAAAAATGGATAGCCAGGCGCACACCTGTAATCCCAGCGGCTCTGGAGGTTGAGATAGGAGGATCTTGAGTTCAAAGCCAGCCTCAGCAAAAGTGAGGCACTAAGCAACTCAGTAAGACCCTGTCTCTAAATAAAATACAAAATAGGGCTGGGGATGTGGCTCAGTGGTCAAGTGCCCCTGAATTAATCCCCAGTACCGTCCCTCTCCACCCCACAAAAAGAATCACCTAATTAAGAAATCAGTATCAAAATAAACACATTTTCTGAGGGGATCTTGGCATGGGAAAGCCATAGTCAGTCTACCCCTATAGAGCCTCTTATCTTTAGGAGGCTACTCTAGTCCTACCACAATCCACCAGTCTGTCTGTAACCCCAAGTTCAGGTGGGAATGAAATTGCTTGTCCTGGGAGGTGACATGCAAAAGGGACAGCTGTAACTCTCAATGTGTTCCTGGCAGGCCAGTCCATGGCCTGCTGGCTCTAACCCACATGCCCACGGCAGCTCCCTCTAACCTCTAAAGGTGCTGGTGAGAGTCCCTGGGGGCCTGACTGGAAATTTACACTGCCCTGGCAGGCCCAAACACTAGGTCAGGAGAAGTCATACCAATTCCAGGGGGCTTTCCATCAGTTGTCTCAACTGGTTCCACTCTCCACTTTTTTTTTTTTTTTTTGGTACTGGGATTAAAGCCAGAGGTGCTTTACCACCGATCCATATCCCCATCCCTTTTTATTTTTCATGTTTTAATTTTGAGACAGAATCTCACTAAGGTGTTGAGGCTGACGTTGAACTCATAATTGTCCTGACAGCCTTCCAAGCTTCTGGGATTATAGGCATGCACCGCCACTCCCAGCATACTCTCAACTTTTTAATCATACTTTGTGCTTTCCCTTCCTTCTTTGGGCCACATATTCTTTTTTTTCTTTCTTTTTTTTTAAACATGGAACACTTCACAAATTTGCCTGTCATCCTTGCATAGAAGTCATGCTAATCTTCTCTGTATTGTTCCAATTTTAGCATATGTGCTGCTGAAGCAAGCACTGGGCTGTATATTCTTCCCCTTGATATCCAACTTACCTACACACTCAAAATTGCCTTACTTATATAACTCCCTTCACAATACCCCTGGGCTCCCGAGTGGACTAACAAATCAGTGGTGTACCTTTTTCCATTCTTAGAAAATCCCTTTGGAAGAACTTCTCTAGTTCTGGGGATGTGGCTTAATGTTCGAGGGCCCTGAATTCAATCCCTGATAATCCCCTGCCTCCAAAGACAAAAGGAGGTAGGGGACAAGTTGGGTAAATAGGATACTAGGATTGGATCTTTTTTTTCTTCCAGATGGACTTTTATGGTCCATAGGTGCTCTCTGTGAACCACGGAGCATATCCCATGGGCCCTGCAACCCAAGTGGTACTTTCCTTTCCTTTCCTTTATTCCATCCTGGAGTTCAGGTGATTGGGCCTGTCTTCCATAATCTGGAGCAGGCTGGTGTCAGGTGAGAAGAAATCAATGTCTTGTTCCCAGGATTCGTTTCCTCCTTTTCTATCTTGGTTCTGGTTGCTGATCTCGGCCCAAAGATTGAGACATCTGTGAAATTGCTAATGGTAGACCAGAGGAAGTGAGATGGAGCCAAGACTTAGCCAGTGTTACGTGACAAACCACGAGCTGAGGGAGGAGACTACATGCCTGTGGTGGTGAGGAAACTGCAACTCCTTCTACAGAAAGATAAGAACCAGAATGTACTGTGAATTCCCCTGGGTCAAACTAAAGGCAGAGAGGATGGGCAGATTTCTGAGGAAAGCAATACGGTGGCTTTATCTACAGCACGGAGGCAGTGATACCAAAGTCAAAGCAGTCTTTGGAGTTCTGACCAGGGCAAATTATTCATGTTTTACAGTTTGTGCTGAACACCTAAACATGTGGGAAGCTGTACTGATCTACCCATCTCTGCATTTTACCACCTTTCACTAGAGAATCCAGGATCTCAGACTGCACCCAGTTGGGAGACTTGCCCCCTCCCAAAAACTTGGCAGGAGCCCAGGCTAAACATTGCAGCAATGTTTGAGCAAGAGAGACTCAGCCCTAGCCCAGGGTTCTGGCCCTCTACCTCCTCCCTCTGCCAGCTGAGAGCTGCAGGGTCCTTTATGGGATCAACCAAACAAACTGGTCAGCTCCATAATGATGAGGTCTTGGACTCTAGTTAGAAAAGAAAGAGATACAGATAAATTCATAGCCCTGTCTGGTAACCTCTGTACTTTCTTTAGTGCTCGGGCAGGGGTAACATGCCTACCCAGCCCTGTGATGTGGGGAAACACAGGCTAGCAAATATTCCTTTATTCACATTGTCCAAAGGGTGCAGGATGAGAGGAAGAACTGGACACCTAGCATGACTAGCATGCACTCTGGTAGAGTGGCTCACTGTGGCTTAGGACCTGATCTGGCAGCTTTTCCTTAGTTTCCTGATTTTTTCCATACCAGTGCGCAGGCTCCCTGTAGTGTGTTTATTAATTTCTAAACATATATATCTACTTTTAAAACATAAATATTAGCCTTGTTCTAAGCAACAATATCCATTAAATTGCAAGTATGTGTTTTTCTAATACACTTTTTAATAAATATGTAACGGCTAAAAAGAAATCACTCATGAAGTATCTGAATTTCTTTTAGTACCATGTTTTAGGAAAAATGCAGTAAGATATTCTTGGAGGATGGGATGCATTTGGTCAAGAACACCATCCTGTGTCAATGTGAGGAAGGTGAAAATGAATTGATTCTAGATAATTCTAACATGGGATTCCATTTGTCTTGTGAAAAAGAAGGAAAAGAAGGACTCAAAGGAGGTAGGGGATGCCGGTAACGTACTCCTATCCTCCTAGCGAATCAGGAGGCTGAGGCAGGAGGCTCGCAAGTTTCAAAGCCAGCCTCAGCAACAGTGAGGTGCTAAGCAACTCAGTGAGACCCTGTCTCTAAATAAAAATATAAAAATGGGCTGGGGATGTGGCTTAATGTTCGAGGGCCCTGAATTCAATCCCTGATAATCCCCTGCCTCCAAAGACAAAAGGAGGTAGGGGACAAGTTGGGTAAATAGGATACTAGGATTGGAGTGGATAAAGCTCAAGAAAAAAATTATTATCTTCCAGACCAGTACTTTATCTTACAGCACTAACTTTAATCAACTATCTTTCAATCAACAGTAGCATATTAGGCAGGCCAGGATAGGCAGTCCTTAGGTAATAATCCTCAAAATCCCAGTGGCTTGACATCCAGTGGTTTATTTATCATTCACACAAAGCCTGCTCTAGGTTGAATAGGTTCTAGGCATCTTCTTTCCAAGGGTGACTCAGAGATCCAATCTCATGGTTTCACCACCTCAGCACATGGTTGCCAGGGTTCCCCAGCAAGAAAGAACACCTGGCTTCTCACTGCCTGACACCCAGAGGGACCTGTGGGGGTCATATAGCCCTGCTTGGCAGCAAGAGGGACTGAGAAGTGTTTTCCTCTGGGAGACCAGGACCCTGAGGAGACTAGACATAGAAGAGCACTGGATGTTTCCACCATCAGTAAGAAGAATACATTTTTTTGGAACCTGACAGTCCATTTTACCACTCACCAGTTATATGGTAATACATACTACTTCCATCCATCCATCCAGCATAAGGTTGACCTCTTTGTGGCTTTGCTGTGAGGTTAGAGAGATCACACCAGTGCTTCAAGGTGTAAAGTATCTCAAACCGCACCCATCAAAGTTATCTAGACAAAAAATGTGCAGTGTGGCAGACATGTCAAGATTGCTTCAGGGTGACAGACAACGAGGACTTCACACCAAGCCCTAGAATGAGGCTGCTGCCAGTAGACCTGCTTCTACAGAAGTAGAGTATCTGTTGAGGCATAGCTATCCCTCATCAAATGATAGGTCTCATTTCCTTCCCTCCTTGGCAAGAATGAAGGAACCAGCATTAGATTCGAAGTCCTATTTAAAATACAACTCTAAAAAATTATGATAAAAAACACTTCCCATAAAATTTACTATTGTAACCATTTTTCAGTGTAGAGTTCATCAGTGTTAAGTATATATATATATATATTTTTAAATATTTATTTATTTATTTATTTTTAAGTTTTCGGCAGGCACAACATCTTTGTTTGTATGTGGTGCTGAGGATCGAACCCGGGCCGCACGCATGCCAGGCAAGCGCGCTACCGCTTGAGCCACATGCCCAGCCCAGTGTTAAGTATATTCATGTTGTTGTGCAACTGATTTCCAGAACTTTTTTATCATACCAAAGTATGATAAAACTGAATCTCTGTATTCATTAAACAACAATTTCCCATTTCCCCCTCTGTGCCAGCCCCTGTCAACTACTATTTACTTTCTGTTCCTATGAATTTGACTAGTTTAAGCGCCTCATCTAAATAGAATAATGACAATAACTTTTAGTTAAAAACCATGATTACAGCCAGACACAGTGGTGCAAACACCTGGAATCCCAATGACTTGGGAGGCTAAGGCAGGAGGATTGCAAGTTCAAGGCCATCCTCAGCAATTTAGCATGGCGGTAAGCAACTTAGTGAGAGTCTGTCTTAAAAAAAAAAAAAAAAAAAGGGTGGGATGTAGCTGAGTGGTAAAGTGCCCCTGCATTAAAACCACACTACAAAACAAACAATAAAAATCCATGATAAGAAAAAACAAACCTCCACAGAAAACGAATGGACTCTTCTTTCCCAGCAAATACAATTTTTGAAATCAAGGAAGGGAATTGCAAGATCTGTGACACCAATAGACTTGATGGATCTTGAGTCTCCTCTGGTGGCTGCAAAGCAATTAAAAAATGCAACTGTGGAAGTTGAGATACTTATATTTCCTCATAAAATTCACTTCTTGTGCTTAATCTGTTACTCTCAGCAGTGAAGTTTCCGAGTCATCAATATGACAGTGCAGCGATATTGCCTCATCAGTCATGATTTACTTAATGTTTTCTGAATTTAGCAATATTTGATTAAAATTTAATGTGAACATATCATATCGTGCCATATATATTATTGCATCCATTAATCAGGTAACTATAGTAATGAAATGCCGGAAGGTCGGATGAAAAAGGAGCCAAAGTCTTGATCTATGTTTGACATCATTCTGTGAGTGATTAACCAAAAGAAAGTCAGTCATACAAAGATTCATTAATACATATTACTTCTATCATCATCTATGTATCATCAGATATTTTTAACTTTTGTTAAGCTTGATTTTTTAATTTACTGAAAGACACTAAATATTAATAACTATGAAAGATATACATTATTCTATTGAATCATAAGTTGACAGAATGATTCATAGTTTATTCTAATTATTTTTGTATAATGATGTGTGTTAAAACATTATCTAAGGTATTCGATCAATTTGTCATGGGAGAAATGGCATAGAGTTAACATATGGCTGTGTAAGATACTAATTTCAATATCACATCATAATTATATCATTTTCAACTTCCATGTCATTGAACATAGCAGGCAATCGGTGTGACAATGTGTAATTTATGTCTGACACAGGCTGATTTTGTTGCTGCTGTTGTTTTTGGTACTGGGGATTGAACCCAGGGGGACTCTACCACTAAGCCACAGCCCTAGTTCCTTCTATTTTATTTTTGAGCCAGGGCCTCCCTAAATTGCCCAGACTGGCCTTGAACTTGGGATCCTCCTGCCTCAGCCTCCTGAGTAGCTGGGATTACAGGTGCGTACCACTATGCCTTACTGACATAGGATGATTTTTGTGTACAAATATCTTTTTTTTTAAATTAAAACAATGAATTAGTCATAACTATTTTTTTTTGTACCAAGGATTGAACCCAGGTGTGTTTAACCATGGGACCACATTTCCAGATTTTTTATTTTTTATTTTGAGATAGTGTCCCACTGGGTTGCTTACAGCCTCACTAAATTGCTAAGGCTGGCTTAACCTGCAATCTTCCTGCCTCAGCCTCCAGAGCTGTGGGCATTACAGGTGTGAGCCACCATGCCTGGCTAGTCATAACTTTTCAAAAATAATT